GAAAAAAATCGAAAATATAAACAATTATGCAGCATCTTATTTACAGTTAAAAAAGAATAAAGAAAATATATATTAAAAAAAGGCTGTTTTTTTTTCTGTAATTTTTTTCCTAATTTTTCAATTTTTTAACATGACGTAGGAAATTTAAGCTACACTTTTTTAAAATGCATTTATGGGAGAGTGCAGTAGATCTAGGGTTCGACTAGGACAATCAGTCTCTCTACAATTCGTTCATTCATTTCGATCAAAAATTGTTTTTAAGCAATCCAGCCACTGCCAGCCCTGTCAGCGAGTGGTTGCTATTCGCACATGCTACTACTCAAAATACTCCCGTGCACTTCTGCTTCTTGAAGAGGACGAATAAATAGGGGATTTATGAATGTTTTTATTTTGTTATAATTCGCTAAAAAAAGGTTCGTAATTTCCTTCATTGTCTGCTTAAATATCGTAAATAAAATCATGCAAAAATTCCAGAGACAGAGCACTATTCGTTGCGCACGAAGCTACCGTATAATGCTGAAATTGAAAAGTTATATCAGGATGACGCAGTATGGATCATCACGAGTAGCTTTATCATATTTACAATGCATTCCGGTAATCTTTTCTTCAAAAACTTTTAAAAAGCAAGGAATTTACTAGTTTGAGGGCTTGATTCAAAGGACCGAACATGACCAGGAAGCGCACTTGGGGGCTGAGTTTGAAATCTTTAAGTTGTGCGTGGGCTGGGAACATCCCTTTAAAATTTCAGCCTCCAAGCTTTTCTGGCTCCCAAGCTGTACCCTCACAACAAAGACTGAGGATTCGACTCTCGGTTAGGCAAACTAACTGAGGTCGAACCCTCAGTCCTATGTTCATTGACTTTTTTTCGTAACAAATTTATTTGGTGCGTGGGGACTTGAAACTCGCTTCTAAGCCACCTCTGAAAAAGATAATCGTCGAGAGCAAGGGTATCGCGGTAGCTGGAACTTAAATCGCTTTTTTGACCGAAATGCCTTATTTTTCACTCTTGATGGATTTTTTATTTGCCTTATCTGAATTGTTTCGAACATTAATGGTCACCGATCTCAAGAACTGATCCTTCACCTTTTAAAGACTTCGGAACTTCTGCAGCAGATGCTTCATTGTTCTCTGAAAGTTAACCAGGAATTGCTGGTTTTGGAACTCTTAGACAGCATCGATGATCTTTTTTAAATCGAAAATACCAAATCCGTCTTACTCTCAATATGAGTGTCCTATATTAGTGGTGTTACTATAATTTTTCCATACGCGGGATGAAGCTGCGCCAGAATTTCCGTTCCTAAGCTGCATACTTCCGTTATTACTCATAGTCTATTCGATGTATTTGTGCCACTTTTACGAAAGCCCCCTGAGTGGTCGTTTATTTTCTCACGAGTATCGCTCACTGCTGACAACTTCCACAGGTTATCCACAAAAGGAACAAAATGCCCTACTTATCGGCAAGAGAAGCAGCATGCCTTGCCTATCGGATATTATTTTTTGGCATCCGGGACACCGCGCATCTGACGGAGAGTCTGATTGTTGATACGATCACAAAGGAATAAACCAAGCATCCTTTGCTCCAGGTTTTTTCATAATCAAGGAAAAAGTGAGACACAGTTGCTTTCAGGTTTTGGCTTACTGGAAAGCGGTAGTGTTGCCGCGAAGGACGAAGTAAATATTATGGTTAAAAATGTTGTTGATGTTGTATTTGGCGGCCTAACTTATTGGTCATTTGGCTACGGGCTTAGTTTTGGTGATGGCGTGTACAGCAATGCTATCGTTGGATGGGGCAAATTTTTTTTTAATCCGGTGAGGTGAGCTGAACTGCTAAATGATATTTTTTAAAAATTCTGGAACCCACTGCCAGTGTAAAACTCCGGTGTGCAGAGGTGCATGTGCAGATCGACAATTCGAGAAAAAAGTAACACCAACACATTATTCATAATTATGGCTTCCGCTTTATTACGGCTCGTACCGGATTTGAAAATTCTTACAACTTTCAGAAACATTGATTCACCACGCTATGAAGGCTGGGCATATGCCAATTTTCTTTTCCAGTTGAGTTTTGCGACAACTGCATCGACAATAGTTTCTGGTGCGTTGTTTTACCGCATTTCAAAGAATTTTGTAAAACTGATTTTTGTAAGTTAGAAACACTGTATCAAATTATTAGAAGATACTGTGGTGCTGATGGTCAATGGTTCGGTTTCGTTGGTGGCAAAACCAGCCTCTTTACGATTCGTTCATTTAGTTTAATGCTTTATTGATTCTGATTCATGCCCAGGAGTTAAAACTTATCAGTTTGCTCCGAGCAATTTTTCTGGTTTTATGAATGAGGCACTATTTTACTTCTCAGCTAGTGTATTGCAAAAGTAATTGTTGCTGAAATATATAGTTAGCGATGATGAGGTTCGCAGTATACAGAAGAGGAATCCACAGATAAGCAGTTTGTATTTCATCCCCAACTGTAAAAATGAACGGAGCAATGACAGGAAGTGAGATTATGAAATTACAGAAATGTAACACTTACAAAAATAAATGAATACAGAAACGTAACGCTTACAAAAATAAATGGATTTGCAGGTGCCGTAGCTGAACGTGCTAAACTTAAATCGTACATTCTACTAGGCTGC